ACAAACTGAAGTCTTATCTTTTACTGTGATTCTATGAGCACATACTTTTCAATTTCTTTTCTACTAGAGATACTCAGAAGAGAGTAACACAAAAAAATGGTTATACAACTGATCCTGCAAAAACTCACCCCAGAAATATTGGCAAATCCACTGAGTAAATGGAAAACTACTTTCTATCTGAAAGTTCTAAACTTGAAAGAAAACTTAAAATTAAAACCCTGGCTGAAGGCAGTAGAACTAGTAATGCTTAAAATAAAGCTTTTATAAATATCAGAAAACAGAAACTTAAGTTTTCCCTTTTTTTAATCCAAAGAAAAGTTCCTAAGAGGTGAATGATCCTGGAAGCAATTCTGTTTTCTTAGAAAACAAACCAGCCACCAACCCCTACCTCCTTTAAAGACATCCAAACAGCCAACATTCAAGGAACAGTAAAGTGAATCACTAAATCTACAGTTGGCTTTTGGGGGAGTATACAAAGCATGTTTCATGGAGAGGTGACTCTCCTTTGTGGTCAGACTTCTCTCATCTCAGCTTTGACCATATAGTTACAGTGAAGAAAGAGTTTTCATAGTGATGAATAATTACTTTAACAGCAGTTAATAGTAACTACATAAACAGAATCTACTCCAGCTTCTTCCTGAAACCTTCACTATGTTCCATCACCCTCAGACTTGCCTATTTCCACCTACCCTGCAATTTCCTCTTTACAAGGCCCATTGCTCGAGCATCTTCATTCTCTTGTAGCTGCACTAACACCCTGTTCATTGTTTGTTTCTCTGGCCAATGATCACACTAATTTTATCAGCAGTTTCCTTCTACTGCCAGAGCTGCCAACACAGGAACCCAATACAGTTCTCTGTTTAGGTCTGTTTGCTATCCTTTTGCTATGAAGACTCTGAACTCCTTCAGAAACCAGTGGAAACAAAGGAAACCAACAAAGAATCTCCCACCACCACTTTGATAAAAATAGGAACTTAATTTAAAATATTTCATTCAGCCTCTAATAGAAGGTGTTAATCTTAGAGCTGTATTAGTCAGTAACAGTGCCCACTGACAAATGTTCTTAATTGCCAATTAAAAAAAAAACAACTTGTGTGCAAAAGAAAGTCACAAAGCTTCAATTATACTTTGTAATTTACATATCACAAGTTGAAATAAAATTTCATTAAAAGAGCCTCCACTGCACACAATTCAACAAAATATTTCATGCTATGTACATTTACACTCTCCAGTAGTTATTTTAAGCAATTCTGCAAGATCATGGCATGAAGTGAAGTTTCAAAGTCCTTTAAACATAAATGCAGTGAAACACACCATATTTTCTTAGCAAATACAGGTGACTTCAATGAACTAACCTTTTTTGCATTAAGTTCTGCTGTGTATCTTAGAGCATCATTCTGCTCCATACAGGTAAGTAGAAATACCCTTTTCCCTTTTTTTAACAAGGGCTGCATCTGGTATTTTTACTCTTAAATTATACATATTTTTTATCTATATATCTCCCTTTCATTATTCCCAAAGCCACCCTACTTATCTGACCTCTTTCTTTTCTTTTCTGTACACCAGTATCTCATCATTCATGCATTTTAAAAGACCTACAACAGCTTTCCATCCTCAAGTCTGAGAGCCCTCAAATCTTTGTATTTCCCTTTTTCTTCAATGGAAACATTTTTCCACAACTACAAGGTCCTTCATAGTTCTATTCCCCATAAACAATGCTGGCTTTAAGTCCCTATTTGTTACTGTTAAGAAACTTCACACTTGAGCTGGTCTCATAAGACCCCCTAATCTCTTCAAACCCCACACTTGCTTATAGCAGCTGACCTATAAATAAGAGATGCACTGAGGGGGGGAAGCTGTTCATTATGTTTTAAACACTTGTGTACAGACACAATGCCCCCATGCAAAGGGACCTGAAAGCAGGAACAAAGTTAAAGGCAGGTTTTTGATATGTTGGATGTACAAGTGTTCTTAGGAAACCAGGGATGTGACAAAAACTTGCAATTACTCCACCGTGTTTAGTCCAAGATAAACTTGCAAGTCTCTCTCCAGAGAATGACTGTCTCTGTACACAGTCTCTTTCCACAGAAACCATGCAGTAAGCAACTTTGAAAAATGCTTTGTTTGCACTGTGTCAGTATGGAGGGCTTACCCATAACACATTTTTAAACCTTAATTGAATTTCTCACCATGGATTACAATTCTACAGAAGATTCTGCCATGCATATTACAAAAATAAGCTGTTACAAAAAAATGCCTTTATATACATACTAAGGATATTAACAGGAGGTGGTTCTACCATTTTTGACTAATTAATTTTCAATCAATTCCTGCTCTTGTATTTTAAATGTGTACACTTAAATCTTGAAATGACATTTAAATGACATTCCGCATTTACCACAGAAACATGAACTAGTCATGACTGAATCAGCATGCTACACCACTGAATCTTCCTGTTTCTCTTCAGAGCTAAAATTATAAGAGATGTTTGGGAGCTCTTTCTAAACATTGAGTTGAGAGGAAGAAATCAGGTTAAATCAGCTTTATGTCCAGTAGTAATACTCTGAATTTTTGTGCTATTTTGTTTTCTAAGGTAAGAGAGAAGAAGAGATTGTTTGTTTGGGACTTCAATTCAATTTAGGAAAATAAATACTAGAGATGTTTCAATGAGATTTGTTTTGTTCAGTTCAGCTAAATCACAGGAAGACAGCAACACCTGTAGTAGTTTCAAATCGAGCAGCACCAATTTTAAAATAATGCACAGCAATTACAAAAAAAACCAAAACACTCAACTTCTTTCCTCCTCTATGAAGAATGCAAAAAGAAAACAAGACAGCCTATTATAGTAGTATCAAAGCAAATTAATACTCTTTGGTCATATAAAGGCTTAGATGAAAAATGTTAGCGCTTCTTTAATGTTTTTCTTTTTTCAATTGTTATGTCTCTAATTGCAAAACTAAGGGAACAGTACAGCAGTTGCAGCCCTTCAGTATAATTCAACTGACAGAGAAAGTGGTAAATTTTATTATGTCTTTTGCATATTAGCAATATGCAAATGTCCACTACCCTACAGCATTTCACCTATATTTTAACACCTACCACCAATTCATACTGACAGAAATATTCAGTACATCAGGGACAAACTGACATCCTTCTACCCACATGTGCTCAGCTTTGGTTTACTACATACAGGATTTAGCATAATTTTGGTTGTTTTGAATATATCTTACAAAGGTGAAACAGCGGCCAAACTAACCTTACTAATGACATGCAAAAAAAAATCTGTTATTTACATTAAACAGTACAAATGTTCAACTTTTAAACTTTTAAAATCAGTAATTTGCCTGAGAAGAAGTAAGACTACTTCCTTCTTCCAGTCTGTTAACACATGATGTGAAAACACCTGCTTTCAGATCAGAATAAATGAAACTTTCCACTGTCTTAACAAGTAGGTACAGTGAAGGTACAGTGGGATGGTGGTTCCTTTCATTTACAAAACTACAAATAACTAATTTTCCCTCATCCTGACTGCATGCATACATGCTTCAGACCATTACCCAGCTATTAAATCCAGCTGGACCCTGTAAGAAGTTCTGAATGTCTTTCCTATCATACAACACCTCCAACAAACAAATAAGCAAATGCACTCCCCACAGAGCCTCATCCTCCAGATGTTTTCATATATGCATGATTCCACTAAATGCAGTTCTGTTCAAGCAGAAAACATTACCGACTGTAGCAAAACTAAATAGAATTGCAAGAATATGTGGGACTAATATCTTTGGACAGCTGAACAGGAAATAAAAGAGGACACCTCTGTATCCTGAAAAGTAGTACAGAATAGCAGCATATGGGCATTGCATGTGCATTTAATTCTGAGATTACTACACTTTCAATTATTGTCAGATACAATGAAAATCAGTGTATTAACAAAAGAAGCATGTTTTTATAATCCATCTACACACTTCTATGACATTAACAGTGGTCTACAGAGCCTCAGCATTAAGTCAAATAAGGAAAAACAAATAGGATTTATAAGAACAATTGGGTACCATGAACACATTTGTGGTATGGAACTAGCATTTCCTAAAAAAGTACTTGAAAGATACTTCCTCTATTTTACTCTAAATAAGACTAGTGCAGCAATAAATGTGTATGTATATCAGAATTTGTTAGCTTTACACAGAACAAAGAAGCACTGATTTAAAGCTCCAAATTCTCCACCTGAATGCTTCACCTTGTACCTTGACACAAAGACCAATTAACAAAACAAAAGAACTTTTCCAAATTTAGACAGTAACAGCAATTTTCTTGACCCTTGTTGTTTATTACCTAACACTGTTTATTACCTGGAAAATTCTACTCTTTTCCTAGGAAGCAGGAATACAAAATAAGATCAGTTAAAAAATACCAGTGCTATTACTAGTGCTTACAAACCTGTAAAAACACAGGAGGCTGACTTGACTGTGAACACACTTCTTAAAGCTCCTGTCAAGAAAGGCTCTAATACGTACTACCTTTGATCATCTATTAAGAGTTCTACATAGCAGCTTAATACAAAGAAGCTTTTTTCATTTCTGATGGGGCTTAGTCTATGGAGCATGTACCTACACAGTACAGCGCCACAATACACAAAGTTATTAACAAGGATCCAAAACAGCCAATATTTATTGCAAATGAAAAATCCAGAAAACTATTTCATGCTATCAAACATTGCAGTATGTCCAAATAAATGAGACATACTAGTTAAAATAATAAAAAAAGGGGTTATTTAATCTTTCGGGCTAAAAAAAACTACCATACCTATAAAAACGAGAAACTTAATAGGTGTTACAATGCCTCAATGATTGCTTCCAATTAAATTCCCATTCTGGGTTCACTGCAGTCACCCTAGCTGAGTACAAGTCACATTTAGTGTAAGACATCACTTGAGTGGTAATGGCTACTTTTAGCGAGAAATTAATGACTGCTTAAGTAAAAAATTATTAAAGATAACTCACCACCATCCCTCTCTCTAACTCTGTGAGTATGCACACTTTTTGCTTTACTGTGCCCTGTGTTGTCACCGTATTTGTTTTCAGGGCTGTCAGAGCGCCGCAGCATTTTATTTGGTGGTGAAGGATCTGTGGTGTCTCGCATCTTGTCATGACGGTGATCACCACCACTGGGGTGACTCTTGGATGAGTACTTAAGAGCCTGTAACAGATCACAAGAAAATAAGCATTCACATTAGATATGAAATGTTGGCATTTCTTTTCTTCTCTTTCAAATGTACTTTTAAAAGTAAACCAATTTTCATTTCCTATTTAAAAAAAAATCAGCATTAGTCTTCCTAGTTTTAATTACCTACATTAAAGCAACAAGTTCTGTAATTAGAACTCAAACCACTTTCTCCTACTATTACATCCAATGCAACACCTGCTGTTAAAAAGAACTTCATTTCTCTATCTTTTCACTGATGGACTACACACTTTCAGCAGTAAGTGGGCCACAGTTCTTCCACACTTTTGGGAGAAGAACTAGTCTCCATTTGTTCTTAGGAAAACAAAGTGTAAACTTTGAATATGTCCTCCATACTCTAGTCAAGACCATTTGGTTTCACCATTATCTTGAACTTCTGTGATATTTTTTCAGTACTAATATCCCTATAACAGAAGTAAGTAAAAGAAATAATTCTAGGGGGGCAAAACATGTAATGCAATAATTAATTTTGGAGTCTTTACCAAAATTAACATGTTCTGCCTCAGTTTTACCTGCTTGGTTTTGCAGTCTTAACTCCTGAATGGCAAGTGTTTATATTTATGTGAACTGTCACTGACAGCTACCTTTGACTGCCATACTGACTTCAGTGATTCAAATACACCAAAATGCAGTAAAACAGTTCAATTCAGGGCCTACAGAGAACAATATCACAACATACAGCTTTCCACAGACTCAAACCTCAACAACTGGGTTTTTTCAGTAGACACAGCAAAGAAATGCAGTACCCACCTTACAGAAACTGAGACTACTGTCAGTAATTCAAGGATCTGATAGTTTCTGAACATGCCTAACAACTGGTAACTGCAGAAATTAAGCCTCGCTTGCAACCCCAAGTCGGTCAGGGTCTAAACCCGTGCCCTGCTCGGGTTACAGCCCGCAGCACCATTTTTTGGGAGAAAAAAGGACTTTAGGAAGGGGGTGGAAGAACAAAACTCCTTTTGTTTTTAGAAGAAAAACATTCACGTCTCCTGGGTCTCCACTCCACCGTAGGTGACCTCGGCTCCCTCTCCCGCCCCTCGCACCCTACCCGACTCCCAGGCCCGAGACCCGCACGGGTCGCACTAGGCCTCTCCTGCTCGCTCCGGCTCTGTAGGCCTCGGCCGAGCACCGGGGCCCCGTTCCCTGCGCCAGGGCCGCCGCGGCCTCTCCGCCCCGCGGCCCCG